TTTATCCTCCAAACTTTTGTTCTAAAAAGCTTTGTGACTAACACTTCGTGTATTGTTCTATTTCTTTTGTTTCCTCTTACACAAAAATGTCTTGTTCATCGATTGTTAACTTTGATATTGAAGAATGTTCCTTCAAACCAAACAACCACATTGCTCTCCTAGAAATCCCCGCAGAGAAATATCACTTTGCGGAAGCCGCCTCTTTCCTCAAAAACTTCGTGCTAGGACATGTTCTCACGTTCCAACCAATCATGGTGAAGGACATCTTGAGACAGTTCTGGTACAGCGCCAAGGTGAAGACTTCCAAACACGATTTTGGAAACCCTAAGGTTAAGATCTCCTGTCAGATCAACAATATGATGTTGAACTTTAGATCTGCAATGATTCATTCCTTTAGACATAAAACTATTAGTTCTGCGTTGCAGCTTCCAAAGAGTGTTCCCTAAGCTAGAGACCCAACAGTGAAGCCATCATCAAGTTTCTAGATGATATTCACTACGACTGGATGTTGAAGAAAGACTGCGATTCAGAGCTCAACAAGTCTCTGACCAAGATTGAGAAGAACCGGATGTCTACATTTGGCAAACCTGTTTTCTCACTTTATTCAGTGCATGGGTGGGAAAACCGGGGGCCAAGACCAAGCGAGCAGGGTAGCATCATATATTGGCTACTCGGTCATCAGGAATGTCAACGCTAACTTCGCTCAGCTTATCTTTGATGACCTAGTGCTAAAGCACCAAGTGCCAATAGGAAAAGGTCATCTCATACACCGGGTTCCTAAGCAGGATTCTAGCCAAAATTCTGAAGCATCACCACCCCGCTCAGAGTGACCTTCTCATCTGTCGACTTGGATCAAGGATTCTTGATCCTAAGTCCAAGCCTTTAGATATTGGTCTATTCCCACATATGCTGAGGATAACCAATACTTCTTCTCTTCCTTCTTCTTCTTCTTTTTCTTCAGCAACAAAGATTTTCGTTCAACCTCCAAAGTCTACCCATGCCGCTACCTCCCTATCCTCTTGAAAGAAAACACATTCTGAAGCCACTCTTAATCCCTCAAAGAGGGTTAAGAAAGCCACAAAGAGGAAACCATCTTAGCTAGCTGAGACCTCTCAATAGGTCTCATCTATTGAACTTCACCTTACCCCCAAGGCATCTATTTTACCCCTCCCTTCCTCTTCAGCAATGTCTTCTATTGTTGTCGTATGTATGGCAACTAACCCAACCACTTCAGTGACTCAACTCGCTAAATGTGTGATTTCCATCATTGCCACTGCTGATCCTCTACTTCTTTTCTCAGCCATTATCTCCTCCCCTCCTTCTTTGGTCTCCATTACATGAGCTGGTGAACATAGTGGTTGTCCCCACTCTTGGTAAAGCTATCACCACAGGACTTGAGGATGCTCCTCTCGACCCCCCAGCAACATGCGACTGATCCATCAACAGCACATTTGAGAAGTTCGGCCTCAATGACAATCATTTGGATACTGCTGAGGAACCATGGGGTATACATCAAATCCCTCCCTGTTCTTTATTTTCTACTAACCTGGAGCTTTATCATGCTCATAATTTTATACTTTTGTCTCTACAGGTTTTATGAAGAATACACCCCCCGTCACTAAGACTGATGCCTATGATATGGCTTGGGATGTCAAGCTGCTTCTCCCTGTTTGTGGCCACTGTCCTTGATAAAATGGACGCGGTTCATCAGGGAATGCTCCTGAAGGAAGAATTGGCTCTAGGTCTCTCTACTATCAAAGTTGAGGTTCTTGACGTCAAGAATGAGTTGAACTCCATGAAGATGTGAATCCAGCACAACTCCAACGCCAATACTAATCTCTGCAGCAAGACTGAGGATGTCCAGACTCAGCTTACCAAGCATCGTGAGCTCCTTGAATGGATTTTCTAGCTTCTACAAAAGCCGACGCCTGTCCTTAAACCCTTCTTCATTGATGCTAATCGACATCAGCTAGACATGGTTGTTGAACTCAACCTTCACCAAGCAAAAGCTCTTGTCTCCATAGAGCTTACGCTGACCAAACATGCTTCTCGCCTCCCTTACTCAGTTGATGATGACAAAGAGGTAAATAAGGCCACAGAAAAAGATGACGCTGAAGATGTTGTCGAAGTTGAAGCTAACTTCCTTCTCCATAATCAGAATGTTGGGGACGTTACTAACCTTGGAAACCTCCTTCCTTCCACATCTACATTTGTGAATGCTGGTGATGAAGAAGGAGAATACGAAGACTAGGATGATGAGGATCCCGAGATCCCTAACTCAGGTCCTGACCTTGGTGATGATGATGATGATGATGATGATGATGATGATGGTGATGAAGATGATAATGATTTCTCCATCTAGCTCATCCTAAGACAGCCTGCTAAAGGAATCCCCTTTAGGAAACCCTATTTCTAGGAGGAGAGATCCTCTCACAACCAACACTCCTACTCTGGTAAAGGGAAAAGACAATTTAGCCCTAGTTCTTGGGGCATTCAGCTATCCAGAGGTCGTAAATGCTTCAACCGTGTTTGTCTCTTCCACATTTGAAGCTAAACCTTCTTCTTCCCTACCTTCTACCTTGAAACCCCCAACTACATCTCTCTCTCTACAAAGATCACTCTTAACCCCTCAACCCATGTTTCCTCCTCTTTTCAAGTTCATGAGGATGATGAAGATGAAGCCTCCAACCTCATCCCTAGGAAGTCGTCTAGACAACCTGTGTGCTTCGAGGTTGAAGAAAATTTGAGGATGGCTCAGCTTATAAGTCAACTTCACCAATCCAGATTAAAAATTCCTCTTCATGCCCTAGATGTGGTGAGTTTGACTTTCTCTCTAAAGCTGAATGAGAGGAATCTATAAAATCTGAAAAAGAGTTGAAGTAACATCAACATCAACTCAAAAATAGTCTAGAGTTAGCCAAGACTTTAGTTGATGAAGCTCATGCTGAAGGGATGTTCATGCAAAGTGATCCCATCAGTGCTCAGGCCATATTCTTGAGAGAAGCTGAATAGAAAAATCAACGAGTACTAACATTGAAGTATCATGAGTTGAACTGGTGCAAAGCAAGGATTGAAACAAGAATGATCCAGGATTTCAAACGTCACAATCAGCGAATGGATGAAAAATGGTGGCCTTCTAGTTTCTATAGTCATATTCTTAGAGAAGCATGATGCTGTTATGGAGTATCCCTCATTCCTCAACAGATATGGCTTCTACGAATGGCTCGATATTTGACAGGCAATTCAAAAATCCAAATCTTACAATAAGCCTTACATTGAAGAAGTTCTCAATGAACTTTTCTACAAAGTGTCGAAGATCATCGAGGTTCCACCTCTGCCACATAAGGCCTCCTAGAAGAAGAAAGAACCTTTTTGATCCTGGATAAGGTTCGTCTCACAGAAATGAACATGAAACAAATTTTTCAGTGGATGAACTCTTCAAGAATAGGAAGAAGCCAAATATCTCAATGTTGAATCTGTCACTGCCTGAGAAAAGACCCTTCATTCCCAACACAATGCATGTGAAACCTAAGTATAGACTTATGTTCATTGACTATGATGGTCAATACAGGTTCAACGAGTATCTGAGTTCCATCTCTGACCAACAGAACATCTAGAATATCTTCGAACTTTGCTGAACGAAGACCTTTTTTGAGAGATGATGGACCATAGGATTCGAAAGGAAATGCTGAAAAGAAAGATTCAAGGAGAAGATGTCCCTGATTACATCAACTTCAAAGATCTAGATTAAGAACCTTTCGATCTTGTAACCCTTGTACTTTTTCTTTACTTTAAGTGTATAACTTTTAGTTTTTAAGACTACCAAACCAATTGTAATCATTTGTAATATTTTGACTTGAATGATATTTCAATGTAATGATTGGTTCACTAAAAAAGATCCCTGAAAAGAGTAAATGGAACATGCACTTATGAGTTTTATTTATCTTGCATTCTCTTACACGTTTCTTGTCATTGAATACACTCTTAGTGTTGAGTTATCCATGTTATGTAATTTCATTCTTTTCTTGTAATCCTTTACAAATAAGTGAATTTCCATAATAAACTCTGACACTGAAAAAGATCTCAAAAACACTAAAAAGGGACATGTATTTTACAGGTACCTTTTCCATACTGTAACAACTAAACAATTTTCTTTATGTTGCTTTATCATCATCAAATAGCGGGAGATTGTTGATCCATACTCTCTCAGTGATTTGATGATGATCCTTTTATGCCTAGCAAAAAACACTTAGTTTTGTTTTATTCAGTTTCAGCGATCTTTACTGAATTTGTTCAGTGATTGCTGAACATGTATTGTGAACTTCTCTAATGAGCCAAGTATTCTACAAGAAGACAAAACTCAAACCAAAAGAACCTTCAGTGATGTCGAAGATAAAGCTGAAGATAGAGACAGGTAGTTTGTGATCTGATGTGGTTTTAGCGATAACAAGCATATCTACATTCAAGTGTGAAGTCTATTCAAGATTCAACGAACATTGAAGAAACTCTAGAGTTATTCCAGTGCTAACAATCAAATGAATCTTGAACATATTATGTTTTTAACAACTCAAATTTCTCAATAAGAATGTGTGCAAATAAAGGGGGATTAAATCTTTAAGAGAGTTTGAGTTAAATGACCACTTTTCTCGTTCAAATTGACCTCTTAATCATTTTAATCCCGAGTTGATTCAAATGTCATTGTTTCTCCAATATCCAGGTCCGCAATAACTAAAGACCAAAAATTCAAAATAGATATGCAATTACGACACGACGACCAGACCTGCAATTACGACGTTAAACTGATTGAATTTGACAATTTTTTGTTTTTTTATCTTACTCCACGGTATTACAAACCAAAATATCATGAATATAATAATATTTGGAATATAATAATATTTGGATCAACTCAAACAATGGTCGAAAGGCCGAATTTAAATTAGACAAATGCTGATTTTGAGCTAATTTCTCAATCTCAAATTACCGATTTCATGAATAAATTAGTACGAGCGTCCCAAAACCAGCCATTTAAAAATGGCGTTCAGCCCATCTCCAATCTCCCTCGTAATCTCACCAAATTCATCAATTCTCTCATACGCCTCCTTCTTTCCTATCGTCTTTCAGATCCCGAGGAAACCATCGACCCTTATATCCGCCGCCTTCTGGAGAACTAAACGCAGAAGAACACTTTCCACACAGCCGCCGGAAAACGACATGTCAGTCACCGTTCCTATGCCAGCTGAGGATGAGCCCTTTGTTAATTCTAGAAACCGTGAGAATTAATTAATAATTTTCTTCTGCACCGATCACATTCAGAATTTTGTATGTTCAATGATTATATTATACAATTATGCTGTTTAACAAGCAGATTTCTTTTGGTTATGTATTGTTATCTGCTGTATTTTGTCCTTTTGATGTGTGGGAATTGACGAATTTCCAGTAAGTAAAATTTTGATAATTGATTGCATGGATTTTGTTAGGGATTTTAAAATCAGTTGGACTGTTGGAGAGCAGGAGGTGCTCACATGGTGCCTTTTGAGAATATTACCTGAGTCGTTCAAATGTTAGACTAATTTGTTCATGTACTTAGGTCTCTGATTCTTTTATCTAGACTTGTTGATATCGGACTTGTATGTGTGTTTTAGTAAGTTGTATATAAACAAGCACCAGGATCCTCTCACATTCCAAGCATGCATCATAGGTTGGGATGATAACTGACATCTCATTATTTTATCATGTAATCCAAAAATGTGTTGACTACTATCTGGTCATCTCGAGCTTAGAAATACAAAACAGATTTGGTTAAGACTGATTTTGCTCATGGGAATAACTAGATACTGCTCTCCATCTCAGAAGTCACATCAGTCATTGCTCTCCATCTCAGAAGTCACATCAGTCATTGCATTCCCTTCCCTTTGTTTGCTAAATGCTATGTAGGAATGTGTGGATGGTTTCTTTGTTAAAATCAAAGACTCTTTTGTGGATTGTTGATTGATACACAACAGGTAAGGAGGTGCTTAGAATCCAAATGTTATTGGAGCAGTCTACAACAATTTGTAGCTTTTTCTTTCAGTTGAAGAAAAGCACTCTCAGAAATACGTTTCTCATAACTTTTGAGATGTATTATGTTTGTTAGCAGTTTTCTAGATCTGCTATCATGTACAATAGGTTGCTGAAGTGAGAGTGATGTGTAGCCACCTATTTCTTGTAGAAAGTGATTAATAGCCGACAAGCCATATGGAGAAAAACATGCATATTTGAGTTGTCAAAATGTGTAAAAACTGATCAGTGATCCCTTAGGAATTAAATGTGATAGTATCCTGTATCTTTGGAATCGTATTTATTAATGTATCATGGAATTTGCTAGGATACGATTACTACAAAATAGATGTTTGAAATAAAATTAGAACTTCCAATATTGATGGATAAGGTTAAAAATTTGATAAGACCCTAATGTTGTTTGGACACCTCTTCTGATTCTCGACAAATATATGGGTTGGGAATCACATAACCACTTTTAGAAGAGAGTTCAGGATCAAAGAATAGTTCTAGAGAATTGAAAGTTTTGGATAACGTAACCTAAAAGCTTCTTCTTTAACTTCTACTTTTTTTGTAAGTTTGTATCTATTTGTAAAGTTTTATATTAAAGCAATTGTTTATTGAAATCAGGATTTCAATTGCTTTTTGAAATCCTTAGTATGTCCTGCGACAAATTGATATGAGAAAATTGTATCCTAATCGGTTCTGTTTAAGGTCAAAAAATATAATTTCTGAATTGAAGTTTGTATGCAAAACAAAAAAATTTGTGTTTCTTGAGAATTCGTATGAAGTTCATATTAGGTGTTGTTGAATCAAATTTGGACCTTTTAGCGGTGGTAAATTTGACTCTTTATTCTAATTTCAGCTATAAACATGTTTTGTGTAAGCTAATGTTTATCATTGAGCTTATTTATTGTACAATATTTCATGTTTGTGGAAGTCATAGAAAATCACTCATATATAATCTGGTTTACCATACCTTTTTGAAATCCTTCAAATGTCATAAAAAATTGTCATGAAAGCCTGCTTTTCCGAAGTGGTTACTTGGTCAAACTTGATCGTCCACTCTGTGCTTATTTGGTTTCATTGCTCATTTAAATTAACATTTCCAATATGTGTTCTTGGGATTAGGTTATAGCACTTGTGTTTGAGGTCATCAGTTGTAAAGCACCCTATGGTTTTGTTCCAGTAAGTTTATTTTAGAAATTTAGGTCTTATCTTTTTTTTGAGCTGCTTCAAAGTTAAGTTCTTATGGAAACAAGGGTTTAGGATTAAAATATTGGATATTGGAGTTTAATTGGCATTGACTCCATGACTTTTCATAATGTCGTAGACGTTCTTCACACGTGTTTTTGAGTGGGGGTGTTACATGTGTCTCCAAGGGGCTGTTTACCAACAACTTGGTAAGCGCCGGCCAGGTAAGAGTCACCATCCTCACTTACTTGGTAAGATTCTCAGTCATCTAAATAGACAGTATAAGCATCTCTTACCAGGTAAAAGTCACTACCTTCACTGTACTAGGTGTTTCATCACTTGTTGATCTGATAGGAGGAAAGCGGATAAAAATTGTAGTATTTTGGACAAGTATCTTTAGGAACTTAGTATGATATGAAATTAGTTTTCTTCTAGTTAATTGTGTATTGCAGTTGTTGACTGGGGTTAGTTTCCTGATTCTACCTTGTTTTTAGTAATGAAATATAACAGTTTATTATATACGTTAATGTAATCTACCATCGTAATAGTATAGAGTGCTTTATGATGGCTGTGTGTGAGCTTTGGCTTTAATGAGCAATCCCTTGTGAGTTTAGGTTTCAGCTATATCATTTGTCATTTTTGCTCTTAACTCGCAATCGATAGCTTGTTAAAGATACCTCCTATATCAGGTTGCAGAGACATTAATTGTCGATGTTAGCAGATTGTACACCATCTAATGTAAGAGTGATGTCTGGCCACTGGCCCGAGTACAGAGATTTTGTCCTTTATTCTTTATGCCCCCTCCACATAAACCATAGTTATATTCTTAATTTTATATCTGCGACTGTTTTGAATTCAATATGCATTATAAATGAAGTTAAAGATGAATACTGTTATTATAATGAGATATGATTTCTGTCTTTTGTCTGTCTTGCAGAGTTGCAGTTAACTTATAGTGGCCTGTAAAAAATGGATAAGTGCAACTGTTTAATAGTATATAAACCATTATCTGTGAAAATCTATATATCATTTGCTTCCAGGCTCTTAAGTTGATAGGGATCCCTGTTCTCCCTTTCTGCAATGTCTTTTTTCTATTTTACTCACCAAGGTGTAATTGCAGGTGATGGGGCAGTTTCTTCAAGTAAATCGGTTCTTCAGAGGAATAGATACTCTATCAGCTCTATTAGCTGTTTTGGCGTGGACCTTACACCTGATAATATTGCAGTTGCTATGGTGTACTTTGTCCAAGGAGTCTTGGGGCTTGCTAGACTGGCTGTCAGCTTTTATTTAAAGGATGATTTGCATTTAGATCCAGCTGAGGTGCATTTTAAGTAATTTTTAAATATTTTCTTGCCACTTAATTTGCTAACTAGGAAACTTCAACATCTCTTTTAGTAAGTTTACTCCCTTTTGACCAGAAGGTCAAGGATTAAAGTAATGGAAACAACCACTTTCAAAACATAAGGGAAAGACTGTGTACCAACCCTACCCTCTCCATCTCTCACAGAGTTAAGGAGCATTGGTGCAAATGGTTTACTTTGCATTCTATGCCAGGTTTATCAATACTATTTTTGGCACACATCTTTAGGGGCTATTCTGTCTGTTCATATAATTTTTTAGAGACTTTCTCTTTGTAGATATACACACACACAGGGCGGTTCAACTTTAAAACCTGAAGGTTGGAAAAGTGGTAACAGATCTCAACCGTTAGCTGAATTTGATCCAAAGGATGTGATTGAAAAGGCGGTCACAGTATTATTTTTTATAACATAATAATCCCCCTATTTTTTGATAGAAAATTGGCGAAATATAATCAAAATAGGAGATAAACAAATTATACCAAAAAAATGATCATTTTATTTTCTTCAATTTGACATTTATTTTGTTCCACTTATTCATTTGTTTTTTAGTGTTTTCACATTTTTAACCTTCAGGCTGTTCCCATTTGAACCACCCCCTATGTATATATTCACATATATGTAATTTAAGTTGAGCGGCATTTCTATGAAATAAAATTTCCACAAGTCCTAACTTGCATGTCAGAAGCCTTTAGCATGGGTGAAGCAGTTTGCATTTATTAAAGATGCAGTTAATTATAGCATTTGTATTGGCAATCAGACATGTAAACCATTTACTCCCTTGATTTGATGAGATATACTAACTAGTCATACATGGTGGACTAGACAGCTGTGATAACCGGTTTCTCGGCGTTGCCCTGGCTTATTAAGCCGTTGTATGGTTTTATCAGGTGAGTATATATTTGCATGTCTCATCTGCAAATCCTGTGATGTTATTTATCATTTAATAAGCATTCTTACATTATACTGTTTTCTTCTGTAGTGACTCAGTCCCACTTTTTGGGTACCGAAGGAGGTCGTATCTAGTTTTATCTGGACTTCTTGGAGCACTTTCATGGAGTCTAATGGCCAGTTTTGTTAATGACAAGTATGGTGCTTGTTTTTGCATACTTCTTGGGTCTCTTTCTGTTGCCTTTTCAGATGTTGTAAGTATCTACTACTTGTATTCTTATTTACCTAGATATATTAGAATCATCAGCATATTGTTCAATTTTAATTTGAATTGCATCTTTTTTGAGTTGCACGACATGTCTGATGTGAATGATGTGGTTGTCTTGCCCTTCCTAGAGTGCTTTTAACTGAAGATGTGATTGGCCAGATGTGAAGAGATGTTTAATTGGTCATTCTTAGGTGTTAAATAAAATTGAATGCAAACAAGTTGAATGATTAGGAGTAATGGCTGAATCATTGTTGAGTGAAAAAAGATTCTTTCCAAAAAAAGGTATGGTTAGATGAGTGTTCTATATGAAACATTTTAGTAACATAAATTTACCATAATGACCCTCTAGACTATTTCAACCAAGGTGTGGTTTGCTAAAAACTAACTATTTTTTATAATAGCATGATTTAATCAAGTGCATAAGTTGTTGAAAAACTGTATTTAGTTTCTTTCCAGATTTCAAAATGAACTTTGGTGGGTAGGCATGGGAATATAGTAAAAGAAAGCATTATGAGTTACAATTATCTGTTACATGCATAATACCAAAAACTATGATTCATAGTCTAGACACACACATACATATGTGTACACATGCATGCATGTACATATATGTATATATGTAGACATCAATGTATATAAATGCATATATGTATATGCAATCTATATACATATGCATATGGTTAGAATGTGTGTATGTAATGTATGTATATGTATGTTCTTATGTTGAATACTTGAATGCATGTATGTATATTTTTGTAGTAGGATCTCCAAAGATATGAGCTGTATAGACTGCCTATGAAGGCACATAATAGTTAAGGAGAACCTTCCTCCTGAACAAACAACAATCATATAGGGGATTTAGAAACCTGGAGCATAACAAATGTACCCAAAAGGGGAACAACACGACCTACCGTCGATGACTAAATCCTGAAGAGAACCTTCAGGATTTGGACAGGAAGAACAAGCTAGTCAACTTGTAAATAGTAGATAAATACAACTGCTAGAAGACTTTCGAACACTTTGAGAACCATCTGGCTTTATATCAACTCATGCTAAATTGCTAACTATCAAACCGGAGCCGAGTTAGATGACCCAAAATTATTGTTATGCAAGGAGTTAGGAGTTCTAGCATCATCATTTGGCACTGGGGGGCGGGGGGGGCTTGTGATACTTGTTTAATCCATACAGTTGGCTTAATCTATAGAGCTATGCTATTAAGCGGTCAAAAAACCAATTCGCGGTCAATACTGTGATTTGAAATAGCATTATCATGGTGGTAAAGTGGTTCAGTTCATATAAATATTTAGAATTATGGCCATAGGTTATTTTAAGAAGTGGTAAATATTTGATAAGTAAAGAAGTGATCCTAGCCTTTCATACGGTCAAGATTGGATTTGACTGGCGAGGAATTGCGACTTGGACTGGTCAAGAGTTGAGGCTTTGACTGGTCAAAATTTGCAGCTATGTGAAAAATAGAGGGGGTAGTTTCATAACTTCTATAGATAGGTGGCAAACAAGTTCATATGTGAACCCGTGTGGTTCATATGTTCATATGTGAACCCGTGTAATTCACATACGAACTGTTTTACCTGATTCACATATGAACTAATTATCTGATTCACATATGAACTAATTAACTGATTCACATATGAGCCCTTGCGATTCACATATGAGCCCTTGCGATTCACATATGAACCCGTGGATTTATATGTGAATCAGTTAAATAGTTCACATGTGAACTAACTAACGAGTTCACATATGAACATATAGTTTATATGTGAATCGCACGGGTTCACATATGAATCTATATGCCGCCTATTTGTAAAAATTACGAAACTACCTCTCTATCTTTCGCATACCCATGCGAGGAATTATCCGGTGCTTCACAATCAAAGTCGCAAATGTTGACCAGATGGAGGGTTGGGATCACTTCTTTACTTCTCAAATACTTGCCACTTTCCAAATGAATTTTCCCTAGAATTATATACATAATATATTTCATAAAATAATAAATAACTTAACATATCATGTGTAATCAATAAAAATATATAATCATAACGTCAAAACATCTACTTAAAGAAGTAAGTTTCACACAAACAAAATAAAAAAAAGTGTTAAGATGGTATTGAAAACCTAAATTCTTATAATCGTTGACGGGTGAAGATGGTAAATCATTGGATTAAATGATTTAAATCTTTAAAATAAAACAAGTCCAGGTCCAAAATAAGAGCCCAAATCATTAAAATAAAATCAGTCCAGATCCAGTATAAGCTGGTTACACCAAAAAAATCCAAACCACAAATAGTGGTTATGCGGACCGCTATTGTGTGTTAAAAAACGGCCATTTAGCGGCAAATAGCACTGAAATTCCTGGCACCTTGTGTTCAAAGGAATTTCTGAATATTTGCAATGGTTGGAGAAGAAGATTTGTCCCCTAAGAAATGTCATGGAGTCTTTGATCATCATGGACCTAGCGTTTAGGCTGAGGGGACATCGCCTCCTATCAGTACTCAAGGGACTGCCTGCTTTCTCATACCCCTCTATGTATCGTGGGTTAGGTGCATTAAAAGGTGGATTAAAAAAGCAGGACAACAAGGGAGGACCTTCCAATGTTTGAGAACTAGCTTCACAGGTTGAGTAGCATTTGGGTCCTCTTAAGTTCATAGAGGGAAAATCGTTTCCAAGAGAACAAGGATTGTTCCAGGTGGAGGTCATTATTAGGAGCTCTACGACCTGAAGGCCCCCGAACCTGGTTGTAAAAAGTAGACAGTGGCTTCCAAGTCATAGGGGGTTTCGTAAATTTAAAGTCTCCATCCACATTGAGGCCAAATTAGAAGTAAGGTGAAGGAGGTAGTGATAGCCCTGTCATTTTCAATTGGAGGAACAGCAAATTAAAGAAAACAATTTGGAAACAGGTTGAGACAACTCACATGGTGCTTCCTGGGCGAACTTAAAATTGGTCATTTAGATTCCACTACATGGATCAATAGGTCTTCGGTCAATGGTACCATGCCTGGTGCTACAACCTCTAGGTTGTTAATTCAAGTCTCTTTAGAAAACATAGAAATGATCAATGGGTTCAGGATGGACCAAGAGGCTTTTTTGTTGGCTAGAATTATTGAGTTGGAAAGATGGTTGGAGTCCAAGGAAGAGAACTGATATAGTATGGATTACGCCTGTATAAATGTTAGAATACAGCTATTTGTGAATTGCAACATTCCTTATGTAGCTTAATTTTTTGGGGTTTTCTTGGTCTATTGCCCCCCTGTTGAACACTATTTAAATGCTCCTTTATTAAAGTAGATTGTGTGTCACAGATGCCTTTTATTGTCGCATGGTATTAGATCCAAGTTGTTGCATGGTACAAGTCTTAACAGCATTACATTATGGCTGCTTAGATCAGTAATGAAATAATCCTAGAAGCCATCACCCTCCGTGACCATCACCGCTGTAACCTTTTGCTACTACCAGCACCATCATCTGATGCTTCCATCCATCATCATCCACTAAAACCCTAAATCACACCTGCCTCAAACCCTAACTCACGTTTCATTTCATAAAACCTGAACCCTAATTAGAGTGTGGAAGAAGAAATTGCACCCACCTCGCCCTAAATCAGAACTCCTTGAAGCTGTTCAAACTCTGAATCAAAAAATTAAACCTGCTCAAAACACTTGCAACCTTTAATCGAACATGTTCAAACCTGGAATGCGACCTGATTCTAAACTCTAAAGCCTATTCTAACAGGTTCGACTATGCAAATGGTAGTCTGAGATCGTAATTGATGTTTGAAATTTCTGTTTTAAAGTCACAAATCATGCATTAGCAGTTCAAATATGGAGGCAGCGCTGTTATGTTCTTTCCATTTTCTAGCAGCAGTAGTCACATGTTCGAGGGAGGCCCAACATTGTTTCATTGATGGTTAAACTTTTGACAGATTGCTACATATTTTGGAACGGAGCATGTAGTATTATCGGTTCGGTAAAAGGTTCTGAACTTCTGATACACACTAGATGAATTGATGAACACAGATAAATTTAATATGGAATTAGAACTGAAATCGAATATTTACAGATAGGTCCCTGGCTCTTTGAGAGGCTGGACTCTCCTACGGCTTTCACCAAACACACTGAACAAACTAATTAGTACATTTTTCTCGCCATTTTCCGCTTATTTATACCCAAGTGAAACTACTCTCACCGGCTACCAAACCCCTCCATCACCCACTTGCACTATAGTCTACTTCATATCGACTATTTGACTACCCCAATATCGGGTATAACAACACCCCCCCCCCCCAAAAAAAAAAAAACAAACTTTCACCTTGTCCTTAAGGTAGAAACAAAATAAAAATTCTGATTTGTAAGCATTCCATCAATGATTGTTGTTGGTGGTGGTGGAAGCGGCAGCCACTCCTCTCAACCGACTAGCCTCTCGTTTTCACCAACGAAGATAAAAAAAAATTAAAGAGTTTATAGTCATGGAAGGCTCCACTATCCATCGATGAACTTTTGCCGTCCGATTTCACCATCCAATGTCATTGTCTTCGGTATAGACAACCTTACAATCAAATTTGATGATACTTTTGACCTCTGATCCCATAATAACGTCCAACCCACTACATCCCTTGTTTCACCTTGCTACCTCACCCTCTTTTTCAGCCTCCTGAACCACATTCACATTGACTTCCTTTTTTTTGGCATTTGTGCCATGGTGTATACTTTTCGTCACCTCGATAACATAGTCCTTGAGCTTGGCAGCATTGTAACTCAATGCCAGATAACACCTTGCATTCCTTTCTTGCTTTAGATGTTATCATCAGTTGCCTTGCTCCCAAGGTTCTTTGATATCGGTTCACCCACCCTTGCTGCTGCAACCTTTTTGCTCCAAGGATTCATGTTATTTGACGGACTCAACTCCTTATGTTTTTCTTCCACTATTAGTGCCAACTCACTATCCGATGGATTTTAATTTTCCCTTACTTCTGACGTTGCATGTAAACCCATTCGGAGACCTAAATTACCGCCCAAAACACCTCCCAAGTCTCCCACCCCACTATCATGTGTTTTACCATCACTTGTACTCTACAATATCTTTTAGTAACCTACCCTATCCACTTTAAGTGCCACATTTCTTGGCGACTCCATGCACACCAGTGGTAACTGTTGCATCTAATCCCTTGCTCTGGACCAACTCAAATAGAAATTCTTCTAATATTCCTTTTAGCGGTGAAGCTAGTGCTACAAACCGCCTTGTGTAATCCACCCCCGTCGTCTCTAGCATCCTGACCAGAAATTGTTTGTATAATGACCGTTGGCTGTTGAATGAAACTGTCTAAGCAAAATCAACTTCAAATCCTCCCACCTGGTAAACGGTCTTCGTACATCTTTTCATTTGAACCACGGTAATACATCTCCTCTGAAGAGCATTATGAAAACCTCAATTTTTATTCGTTGGTAAGTGATTCAAGGAAAGATTTCTCTCGATCCTCAAAATCCACCAAGTTGAATCCCATTTGTTTGACTTTGGTATTTCTAGCTTTTTACTCAGCCCCGTCCCCTTCCTTTTCTTCGGATTTGCGAAATTGTGACGAAAGTTTTTCCTTTTCCGATCTCATAGGTGTTGTCGTACCACTAGAGTTTTGCAACCTGATCAAGAACTCCAACTGTTTCTTCACCATCTGCACATCTTTCAAGGATCTAAATTTGTGCGATAACATAGCTTTTCTCCTTTTTGATTTCATCACCTTTGGATTCCAATCTTCTTGGCGTGGTGTAGATTGAACTTGCTCTAATACCTACTGATACAAACTAGATGAATTTGATATGGAATTAGAACTGAAAACGAATGTTTACAGATAGGTCTCTAGCTCTTCGAGAGGCCAAAACTCTCCCATGGCTTTTTCCAAACAAACTAAAGAAACTAATTGATACCTCTTTCTCACCATTTGGCCCTTTTTTATGTTAGGTTATGGGAGCCATAGATGTAACGGAAATTAACCATAACTTCTTAGGAATCCATACAAAGTAGGGTGGGTGTTTTGAATTTTTACCTTTTACGATCAAGAACCCGTTGGTGATGTTTTTGAATCAACCAACAACCTTTAAAATTATTCCTCCACAGTAACCACATGAACGAATCAAAGCACCTTTTTCTTCACAAGAATGAGACAAGAGCTATCTTGTACCTGTTGTGTTGCTAGGCATAATGATAGGGAGGAGATGGCGAATTATGGGAGGATGAAAAGGCTTAAACTTTCTCTAAAGCCTAGGGTTTTAGGTATATCCAAAAACCTAACCCCATGGTATTGTTTTATACTTGAGGGATTTCAATCAGATGGAAACTCTTGCTATATGTATGTATGTTTTTTCCATGTTTATTTAGAGATGAAAGCTTCAACAATTGAAAATTTTCACTAATTTAATTTCATTAAATTATAAACAATATATTAATAGTTGAACATTTTAATTATTTAGCCTTCTAATCCAATTGCATTCTATGTGTGTGACTCATTAGGATTTTTTCAGGTTGGCAATAATTATAAATAGTATTTACAATTATAATGAATGGCGACATCTAACAATAAATCTATGTTACCCAAATGATAAAGTTGGTGATTCAGCCAATCAGTGAACTTGTGATCATTATCAATGTCCACGTTGTGTCCCTTTGTCTGTGATATCTATATTAGATACGAGGTATGGATATGTCATCATTGTTATGTCCAATGCCAAGTTTCTTGATTCCCGAATATACTGATGTTAAAAACATATATTAGCATCACATACTGACTATCTGAGCATGCATGCATTCCCTCAAAATCATTCAATGAAGTGGCCTAGAGATATCACTCCCGTCTTACCGGAGTGACAAATCCTATATTGATACATGCTAGTACTACCACGTGATATATATAACATACCCAACTACCATTTTATTACCACTTACAAAATGATTGGAGCTGGTGCCAAATCATGCCACTCACATGCTCCATGTTCACCGGTCAAAGGACTACATGTATAATGACCACATGAGAAACACATATGACATTCAACATCCAATGCAACATTCTCATAGCGAGTCACATCCGATACTTAGGATCTCTATCTTGTATCGATATGTGGACTCCATCTTTATATGAATCCCTACATATGGTAGTTAATATTGTATTTACTTCAACCAACATCTAGAGTAATACTTGACCAATGACATTTCAGAATTGAGAATACATACATTATTATAAGGTTATTATTACGTCTAATTAAACCACAAAATATAATATGAACATAATAAATGGGCAATGACTTTATTTAAGTAATATTATGACCAAGTGTCCAATCCATTCTATGATAGATTTTTGGGTGTACACCAACAATTTATACCAAGTGAAACTACTCTCACCGACTAAGAAACCTCTGCATTACCCACTTGCACTATAGCCTACTATATTGATTATTTGACTACCACAATACCCGGGGTATTAGGTTCATGCCATATTGTTATTTTTGTTAAAGAAGGAAGGACTGGTTGGCTCGGAACAACCTGAGTCTTGTGTGTTTCTATACTTATTATGCTAAGGCAACTGCTAGACAGCTAGTCATGATCATATTTCTCTCTTTGTAACAGAAATAATTTAACTGCACTACTTACCTTGTGTTTGGAGCGAGGTAACAACTAAAGTCAGGATCATAATTAAAATAAATTACCAGCAAAGTTTACCTTGGACCCAAGGCAGCAACCAACTAAAGTCATGATAATCCTTGTCCTTTTTCTAAATGAAATTAACTGCATTATTTGTTTACCTCAAATACTGAAGTTGGTGTAGGTTGTAGATTCCATGGTTGTAGAGAGAGCGCGTGGTGAGACACAAAGTGTATCGGGATCTCTTCAATCTTTATGTTGGGGTTCCTCTGCCTTTGGAGGAATTGTAAGCTCCTACTTCAGTGGCTCCCTGGTGGATGCTTATGGTGTAAGGTATGCTTACTTTTCAGACTCATTTAAGGATAAATTTATCATTCACTTCTGACAAGATGCTAATTTTTGCAGGTTTGTTTTTGGTCTTACCGCATTGCTTCCTCTATTGACATCGGCTGTTGCTGTGCTAGTCAAAGAGCAACGTGTCCGTGGTCCATCGAGAGGAGGCCCTTCTAGTTCAAAAGATAGCATCCTTGAGTTGTGGCAAGCCGTCAAACAACCCAATGTATTTCTTCCCACTTTATTTATTTTCCTTTGGCAGGCAACTCCTCACTCAGAAGCTGCCATGTTTTACTTCACGTATGTTATATCCTAATCTTTTTTCCTTTGCTTTCTTTTTGCATACAAAACTAACCCAGTCTTTCCAACTAAGGTGAGGTCTATCTGACCTCTACTTGAAAGAGTAGAACATTTGTTTCCGTGAATTCCCTTTACTTTGTAAGACCTCAATAATTATGTCACCATGTATTTTTGACACATCTTTTCCAGAACAAATAAACTTGGTTTTACACCAGAGTTTCTGGGGCGTGTTAAGCTTGTGACCTCAGTTGCATCACTTCTTGGTGTTGGACTTTATAATGGATTTCTGAAGAATGTTCCTTTGCGCAAGATTTTTCTTGGTACAACTGTAACTGGTACTGCCCTTGGATTGACTCAGGTTTGATTTAGATCTTGTGTGGGGATTGTTCATCTTAATTTAATATTTCTACATGTTGTATAAATCAGCATTTCCACATTTTGTAGGTTATCCTCGTGACTGGGTTAAATCGGCAGTTTGGTATTAGTGATGAGTGGTTTGCAGTTGGGGATTCATTAATAATAACGGTTCTTGGTCAGGTAATTTATTTGTAGACCTAAATTTTGCTTGATCCATGGATGCATATATGCCTTATTTTTCACAAAAATGAGTTAAGATAACAGTATAACCTTGCCAACCAGAGGAGTAACTCACTCCTGCTGCTGATGATATTGCCCTGGACTGGTGTTCTGTTGTACTTTGTTCCTCTATAAATGAAAACAGATAGAGAATTTGAATTGGTACATAGTGAATAATCTTTAACTGATAATCAAATAATTGTAACACCCATTAACAAGACAAGATCAAGAAAACTGGTGGACTTTTATGAAATTATTACTATTGGGAAAAATAAGTAAATTTGCACAAGCCAGGGGTCTTGATACACTTGCTCTAGTTTTTGGGGCAGAGGTTACTTCTTACCTAGTTTTTGTGAGTCCTTGGCCTCCTAGGAGGTCAAGGGTTCAAACCTCACCAAAGGTGAGGAGGGTGTGAGTTTATTTGTTCTATTTGCTGTATATAAATATTATAGATTTCGAAAAAAGGAAAGAGACACGAAATACACATTAATTTTGCTAATAGATACGGAAGTATGTTGCAGGCATCTTTCATGCCGGTTCTTGTTCTAGCAGCAAGACTGTGTCCAGAGGGAATGGAAGCAACTCTATTTGCAGCACTGATGTCTGTATCAAATGGAGGGAGTGTTCTTGGGGGTCTTTTTGGTGCTGGTTTGACCCAGGTACTGGGTATCACCAAGGACAGATATGACAATTTGGCCCTTCTTTTAATCATCTGCAACCTCAGCTCTTTGTTACCCTTGCCGCTACTACACCTTCTTCCTAATGATAATCCCAATGCGAATGCCAATGGCAAACAAAAGGAAGATGTTGATATTGAGTTGAAGTCTAGTTGATAAATCTTTCAATAGATCATGATTGCAATCACATTGATCATGTTCTGTTCCTACAGTTATATAGATTACCATAGCTGTAAATGTGTGTGTGTATATATATATATATGCATATATTCCATGTTACAATCTAATGAAGCCATTGGTAGCATAAAATGGTGACCATGGTGCATATCGACCTTCTGCAAACGAATTATTCACATCTAATCCAACATTTTTGAAGGAGTTTGTGTTGGTTTTTGGTTTCTTATGATTGTCAAAAGTAGTTTTTGATTATAATGCATTTCTGTATCAGTGTGCCTGTGGATATTGTCTACTCAGTCTTGAAGTTGAAGGTTGTGTTTTTCAACTTTTTCTTTGATAGCATAGAAGAGGATTTCATCAATATTACCCGAGTTTCTTTTGTCCTAACATGGAGGTAGCAAATCCTAAGGGTTTATTTGGTTAGAGGAATTCAAAGGATTTCAAGGGAATTAAATTTGATAAATTCTAGAGATGGCAAAAAAACCTAAAACAAATTGTGTAAACCAAAAACCAAACAATTCGGTTCAGGTTTTGGACCTCTTAATGGGGACGGGGCGAGTTTCGGGGGGATTTTTTAGGACAGGGATGATACTCACCGACCTGGACCTGCCTGATATGATATATACATACACACATATATATATATATAATATGATATATATATATATATATATAATATGAAACATATATATATATATATATATATATATATACATACAATATGATGTATATATTTATATAATATGATGTATATATATATTATAATTTTATAAAGAAGTCCAAAACTGCCTAAGGGCTTAAAGCCCAAAGATTATAAAGCCCAATCTTCAATTGTCTTCACTCATCAGTTCACGTTTACGGCGACATGTTATAGACGACGGCCCAGTTCGACCTTGGACACCGCCAACTTCACGTTCACGACGATCTCTGTGTCCAGTCTCCTCTTGGCTCTCCCTCTCTAGTCTCGCCTCTCGGCTCTTGTTGTCACTGGCTCGATGGCCGCTGCTGACCGCTGAATCCAAAACTTGAATTCACGTCCTATCATTAAATTCCTCCTGATTTATTAGCCGGCTCTCACTCTCTCCAGTCTCCTCTCGACTCTTGCTCTTTAGTCTCTCCTCTCGGCTCTGATTGTTGCTGGAATCCTTTGACCAAATTTGAATTGATTAACATATTGAAATGTAGGAATCTGATAAACCTCCTATTCGTTTATTCGTTTCACTTACAGGAGGAGGGGTTAGTGGGTAAAGGGTCTTAGCTGTTATTGTAAATAAGTGAAGGGTAT